GGAACACGGTCATTCTAGACCCTTTTAGGGCTAGACCAGCGAGAGCCTTCCAATTGCTCAGCCCCACCTGCACTCCCCGCCGCAGACGCTGAACGCTGACCACTGCCACTGGCTACAGCCGGGCAGTCAGTCCCGTCAACGTCAACGCCTGCAACTGACCTACCTGCCTACCAAACCAAACCTAGCTTCCCTCGTCCTCCCATCTTCTTCTTTTTACTTCTCCACGCGCCCGACCGATCTTGTTCTTCTTCGCTCTCCCTCGATCCTCAAACCTCTCTCGATACCTCCTCTGGACACGCCTACGCTGCGACAGCTTGCGCTCCCTCTGTTTTCCCCCGCCGAGCCCGCAACAGACGAGGTAGAGCTGCTCCGATTCCAGCGTCGCTATTCGCCTCTCGCCTCCCACCTCCCCACCTCATCCAACAGCTGCAGACTCTTTCGCCCATCATGAAGGTCACTTTCAAAGTACGTCGCCAGCACTTGCGCCGCAGTCGCTGCCTCAAATCCATCCGTCGCTGCCAGATCTGGATCTGCTCTACAATCACCTGCCGGGAAATAGCTGACCAAACTGTGCGTCGTAGGATCTCAAGCAGCAAAAGTTCACGCTTGACGTTGAACCAACCGAGCTGGTACGCCCACCCCGCGTTTACTTACGCCCATCACCCATCGCTCATCGCGGCCGCGCAAACTGGACCTCCAGTCGACTGACAAACACTTCATTAGATCTCTGCCGTCAAGGAAAAGATTTCGGCCGAGAAGGGCTGGGACCCCAAGCTACAGAAGCTCATCTACTCGGGTATTTACATGGACCCCCACGGCACATCAACCTCCACTAACCTCGACAAAAGGCAAGATCCTCAAGGATGAGGAAACCGTCGCCTCCTACAACATCGAGGAGAAGGGTTTCGTTGTGTGCATGGTGAACAAGGTTTGCAACACACAGACTCTCTGCCACCCCGGCCTGAGACTGACTGACACCTCGTGCGATAGCCCAAGCCCAAGCCCGCTGCTCCCGCTGCCGAATCCAGCGCTCCTCCTGCGACTCCCGCCCAGCCTATCGCCAACACTCCAGCCGCTCCCGCCGCCCCTGTCCAGTCCACATCGCATCAGGCTGCTGTGCCTGCGACTCCCACCCCTCAGCGCTCTGTCGAAGCCGGATCCGGCGCTCCTTCAAATGAACCCTCGGGCCTGGCCATGGGCGCTCAGCGCGCCGAGGCCATTGCCAACATGGAGGCCATGGGTTTTGAGAGGAGCCAGATCGAGGCCGCCATGCGCGCTGCCTTCAACAACCCTGACCGTGCTGTCGAATATCTTCTGACCGTTGGTTTCACCACCCCGCATTTTCACAAGCCGCGGTCACTAACTCGATTTTAGGGAATTCCCGAAAACATCCGGCAAGAACAGCAGCAACAGCAGCAGCAGCAGCACCATGCTGCCTCTGGAGGACAGGCCCCTGCCGCTCAACCCGCTGCTCATGGTGGTGATGAGGGTGGTTCCGTCAACTTGTTCGATCTCGCTGCTCAGCGAGGCGGTTCCGGTCGGGGAGGAAGCGGTGGCAACCAAGCCGCCGCCGCGGCTGCTGCTGCGGCTGCTGCTGGTCAGGGTGGTGACTTGGGTAACCTCGACTTCCTGCGACATAACGCCCAGTTCCAGCAGCTCCGCCAGGTTGTCCAGCAACAACCGCAGATGCTCGAACCCATCCTGCAGCAGCTTGGTGCCGGCAACCCTCAGCTGGCTGAGCTCATTGCCTCGAATCCCGATCAGTTCCTCCAGCTCCTTGGCGAAGATGCCGATGACGATGTTCCTCTGCCCCCCGGTGCCCAGGCTATTTCTGTCACCGAGGAGGAGCGCGATGCTATCGAGAGGGTAAGAATCATACAAATTGAACTCCTGACAAGGTCGCTAACCCAACTGCAGTTGTGCCGCCTCGGTTTCGACCGAGACCAAGCCATTCAGGCCTACTTTGCCTGCGACAAGAACGAAGAGCTCGCCGCCAACTTCCTCTTTGACCAACCGGACGACGACGAGACTGGACCTGGCAACTAGGTGGGTAAGGGTGAATTGCTCGGGATAGCGCGTGTTACGATTACGAATCGGGAGGGAATGGAGCATATCCAGGCATTGCCAACATAATATGGGTAGGCATACGGCGTTCTGACCCGAAAATACCGCGGTAACGCCCTGGCGCCGCCTGGCAAGTCGCGATCAGCACGACGAGATGTGCCGGCGTCAGGCGTGGGGATTCTGCTTGGCCTTGAATGTTTGCAAGGGCAGGGTAGCACAGACAGCCGATGAGATTGATGAATACAATACTTTTACGCACGGTTGTGGCCTCATTCTAGTCACTTATCCATCTACACGCAATGTCTGAGTCGAGTCGAGCTTCAGCTATACCAGTAGACTTGTATTTCCTAATTCAATAGCAATGGATGTTCAATGTCTGTAACCTGTAGAGACCGCTTCCTCGTTCCAAAAACCCCCCCAAGCACAGCCGCCCAATTGCCTTGCCTACCTAATCAATTCCAAAGACCCTATGGGTATCGTGATATTTTACCTCTTTGCGCCGTTCGAATCTGGGTTTCCTCCCCCTTTCCGTGTGTACCTCTCCTTTTTGACCTCGCTTTCAAGCCCTGTGTGTTCAATCATCTTGGGGAATAGGCTCTCCATTAAGCCCGTAGACAATTGTCTGCCTCTTCTTCTTCTTGCGCTTCTTGGCATCCCCTTCGTCGTCGTCCTTGAATAGCTCCTCGCGCTTCTTGCGCATGATCTCGGCGTGCTCGTCAGCAATGCGCTTCTGCTCAGCCTCGTACTCCTCCTGTATCTTGCGCTGCTCGGCCTCGATGTTCTCGACGGGCTCGAACTCGCTGCCGGTAAAGGCCTTGTACTCGTCAAGGTTCATCTTGACAGTCTTCTCCCCCACGACTGCAGCATCAATGCGGCGCGGGCAGTGCCGCTCCTCGCGGTTATACTTGAGCTTGACGTGCCGCCGCTGCTTGCCGGGAAACATCTTGGAGATCATCTCAAAGTCGGTGCCGAACATGCGCAGCCCTCGGTAGAAGAGCTCCGTCTCCGCGTCGGTCCAGATGTTGGGGCCCCTGAGCTTGGACGTGTTCATGAACGAGTTGCTAGTGATGAGCCGTGTAAAGTCGTTTTCCTCGACAATTTCCATGTCTCCATTTGCGGCCGCTGCTCGGGCGTGTCGATCCACCGTCAGAGAGCTCTGGTCGACCACAATCTGTCCGTCCACAATGCGGAACTGGGGACCAGAGGGCGGTGCTGGGCCCGAGGAGGCTGGCGATGCTTCCCCTGACTGAGTTGCTGGGCTGCCCGTCTTCTCACCCTGTGCACTGGCCTCAGGGGTTGCTGAACTATCACGCGAACCTTCGGTCCCAAGTTTCGACTTCAATCTAGAACGTCGCTCCCGCTCTCGCAGCTCATCATGTCGACTAAACTTTTTACCAATGTGCAGATCCCTGGTCAGATCTGACATCTTGAGCTTCTGCAGGTCCACCACCTGGCTCTCGGAATCTTCTGGTGTGATTGAGCGTGCTCGCCGGTTCCTGGCAGCAGCCGTTCCATTCTGAGCGGGCGCTCTACGCTTCCTTGGTTCTTTTGGTGCTGCGCCTTCTTCAGTTGGCTTCCGCTGGCGCTTCTTGGGTCGCGCAGTCTCTCCATCCGCGTCCGTTCCATCTTGAGTTGCTTGAGTAGCCTGCTTCCTCGCTCGCGGTTTTCGAGCCGGCTTAGGGGGATTCTGGGCCTCGGTCGATGGTGTCGAAGTCGTATCAGTTGCGTCACCGGATGGTGTTGTGGAAGGTTCCGTTCCGCTCGGGGCTTCTGAGTCATCTGGAGTTGGGGCCTGCAGGACAACAGAAGGCGCATTATCCGCATCCTCTGTTTGGGCGGCATCTGTCTGCGGGGTTGCGCTCTCCGCGACAGATGTTTGGGTTGGTTCTGTTATGCTCGTAGGAGCAGGCACTGGAGCGCTTGATTGTGTTGTCTCGGTCGTTGTGGTTATGGGGGCCTCTTCTATTCGAGTTCCGCCAATCTGAGTATCGGGCTCGTGAGGGATCTCTTGCGATGCTGGAGCCGAGGGAGGTTCTTGAGTTGCAACATTATGACTTGGTTCTGGAGGATCTGGGATCGTCGCTGGTGGGGTCGGAGACTTTTGGCGGGGTGCCTGATGAGAGTCCTGGGATTGCGCCTCGACAGGTTCGATAGTGGAATTTTCGGTGAGGGATTTCTCAGAAGCTCCTTGAGGCCCAGACTGAGGCTCGGGTTCAGCAGCAGGAACTTGGGGCGGCGGAGGGGGTGCTGGCTTGGGTTGTGAAAGTGCCGGTCCCGCGGGGCGACGGGGAGGGAACTTCGGTTTGAAGGCAGGCCCTCCCTTCTTCTTGAACATGGAACTCATTGTGAATGTGAAGCGTTGGCCATGTATGTATCGCGATCCAAAGTACAGAATATTATGGTCATTTCAACAACGCGAGGGGAGATCCGAAGGTTTGAAAACGAAGGGGAGAAAAAAAGACCCTCTGCAGAAAACTCATGGAAAATGCAGAGAAAATGCGGGATGGTGGAGAGGCCCGGCCCAGCCCCATCAGAGTGAGCGAGGATTAACCGCTCATGGGAGGGAATCGATAAGGACGAGGCACGAGAAGCACGAGAGGCCCCACATGTCCGAATCAGGTTAGCCTTTCACTAAGCCCCTTTGACCATTCAAGGTGGAGACGCCCGGGCGCTTCTTGGACTGCGACTCAACTTCGAAATTTCAACTTCTGGCCCGAGGGAACGTTCCATCATCACAACACGCCCTCCCCGCGCCACCTCTTGATGATCGCCCGCACGCCCAGGCTCGCGACGGGACTTGGCTTCACTGCGCTCCCACGACCGATCCGTCGCTTTTCCTGTGCCTCGCGCCCTCTTTGCTGCCCTGTGCTACGCGACTTCTGATGCCTCTCACGGCCACCCCCTCTGCGTCGCCCCGTCCATCCACGCTCGCCAAGATGGAGGACAGGAAGCGGCCTGCCATCAGCAGCGCCGACGACCTGGCCCCTCCGAGCAAGAGGGTCGCCGTCAATGGTTCCAAGGCCAAGGATGACTCCCTCGAGATGAAAGAGGAGAGTTGGATCGAGGTGAGTGTCTGTCGTCTGTCACACGACTGTCTTTGTCTTTTCTACCGCAGATGCTCGATCGATCGAGCGCCCGCCCATCTGCCATTCCCCCCTCTCTTCCGTCTTGTGCCTTTCATCTCAGAGGCTTGTGCTCTGCTCTCAGGCTTCGTGCCATGCCATTCTTGTCGGGGACGGTCCTGGACGGTAGTGCTCACCAAGCCAGTGAAATGCTCGCTCGCTCCCGGCGACAGCAGTCCTCGGCTCGGAAGTGTATCTGCAATGCACCTGCTGAGCCGCGCCCCCGCCCAACCACAACCTGCAATCCATATCATACAACTTTGTCGACGCGTGGAGACGAAATTGCCGCTGACCTCGGTTACCAGGCCTACACAAAGGGCGCCATCTATCGACAGATGCAGGAGTATAGTCGCAAGGCAGCTACCTATGAGTCGCGACTTGAGGAACTTCACAAACGATCCGTACATCATGACGATCACCTGAGAATCATTGACGCCTGGTGGCGACAGGTAGGTTTATCTGGCACGCGACTCGGGGCATGGCTGATTGTTGGATAGGTCCTCGAGGAAATTGAACTCCTTGCAAATTCAGATACAACCTCATCGACCCCTTCCGGTATGAACCCCCACAACCCCCTTCATATCTCTGCTGACTCGGCGGCAGAACCCCCGTATCTCAGTGGTGTGAGCTTCAAGGACCTACACGATTTCCAGAAACATCTCCAGGATAAGGGCAAGTCGATCAAGTCGAAAGCGGAATCGCTCCTCACACATTTGGCTGCTTCACGAGGCAGCATTGACCCAAGCGTTTCCAAACTGGAGAGCAAGGTTTCTGGACTTTTGGCCGCGCAAAAGGAATATTTGTTCAAACTAGACCGGCTGAGCAGCGAAAAGGACCAACTATCGGAGCAACTCAACGCCGCGACCTTGCGTTACTTCAAGGCGGAGAAGAAGCTAGATCGGGCAAAGAGTTCTCAAGTCCAGAAGTTGGAGCAACAAGCATTTGCCAATGCTACCCGACCTTCAGCATCTGGCGATGCGGGTGCCGAGAGTGGCGAGATCAATGGAAATTCTGGCGAGATCCTGCTGAAATACGAGGAAGCGACCGCGGCGGCTACGAAGCAAAAGGAACAGCTGGATGCCATTCTGGCAGAGATCAAGACCTTGCAGGACGAAAACTCGACTCTAAAGGCGAAAAGGGACAACCTGACCGATGAGGACTTTATCCGGACCGATGTCTTCAAACAATTCAAGAACCAGAACGAGGATCTCATCAAGCGTATCAACACGCTCGAGGCCACGAACAAGCAGCTTCGTGAGGAGGCCGAGAAGCTGCAGGCGGAGAGATCGGCATTCCGAAGTCAGCTCGAGGCAGATGCGAACCAAGTGACACAGGAACTGGAGGCTGAGATCATGTCCCGAGATCAAGATCTTGCCCGAGTGCGATCAGCCCGTGACGAACTTTTGGCCGAAAACACTCAGAGCAAGGCGAGATTGGAGCAGGAGCGAGGATCGATGGAGCAGATCAAGGATCTCGCATCTGCTAAAGACGACAGAATCACGGCTCTCGAACTTGAGCTCTCGCGCCTCACGTCGAGCGGGGAGCAAGGAAAACTCAACCCGGACGACGAAAATTTGACGGTTGACGAGCTTCGCCTGAAATATCGGAAGCTGCAGCAAGATTTCGATTCAATCAACCTGGAGTTGCCGGCCATAGAAAAGGCATACAAGAAGATGAAGGAGCTTGCTCATAGAAAGGCAATGGACTCGAGCGCTATGGAAGAGCGCATGACCATCTTGATCGCCGAGAAGAGTAAGGCGGACCAGAAGTACTTTGCCGCTCGCAAGGACGCGGATACCCGGAACAACGAGATTCGATCCCTACGACACCAGAACAGCAAGAGCTCAGAGATTATTGCGCAGCTCAAGGAACTCGAGATGCAGAACCGGACCCTGCTCAGCAATCTGGAGAAGCAACTGGCGGACCTGAAGCAGGCCAACGCCAGCCTCGTCAACGAGAACAAGAAGGCGGAGGCGACCAGTTTGGAGGCAGTCCGACGAACAGACTCGCTCAGCAAGCAAGTCAACGACCTAACGAACCTGGTCAAGTCGAAGGATGCGGCATCTGCAGTGGTTCGAGAGCGCAACACGATGCAGGAGACAGAAGTGGAAAAGCTCAAGGTGCGCATCGAGCATGTGCAGAAGGATCGCGACTCGTGGAAGAACAAGGCATTGAGCAATTCCTCCGAAGAGGAGGAGATGCTTCGAGTAAGTTTGCTTTACGTGATGATTTCTTTTGCACTGGCTAACCCAGCAACAGACCTATGCCTTGTGCACCATTTGTCGCAACAACTTCAAGAACACGGCACTCAAGACGTGTGGCCACCTCTTCTGCAACCAGTGTGTCGACGACCGCATCAGCAACCGCATGCGCAAATGTCCCACCTGCTCTCGAGCATTTGACAAGATGGATGTTATGTCCGTACATCATTAAATGCAAGGGAAGCCCTACGAAACCCTCCCCTCGACCAGAACCTGCTTCTTCACCACACACGCCGCAATACCTCTTTTTCTTCGTTAATCCTCTCCGTCAAGAGCTATGCTGTTCGGTTTGCTTGAGCCTTTGTTTCCGGGATAGTCCGCCCGGTATGTCGTGCTGGAACCCGCCCTCTACAGCTTGGGTGGGTGATTCGGCCTGGACAGGCTATGGCCATCTTGACGGTTTTCTTCTTCTCTGGGCTAGATGGCTACATTTGGAAAGTCGTCCGTGTACTTTTATTTGGCAGCGGCCGCATGAGGCGTCTCGCTGCTCGCATGTATATACTTGGTAGTTGGGTGGCAGTCTTCAGACAGGTCGTGGTTATGAGGCGATGTACGAGTTGGCAGGATAAATGGGATGAGTCGATTATGCGATGAAATACCTTTGATTAATGATTGTGCCATGGCCGTGATGTCAACAAGATGAGTTACATGATAAGACGCACACCTAGCGTCGGCTGGTTGAACCGAAGCCGGTGCTTTCATGGCGGTTGGAGTTGTTGGAACCGGATGATGATCCTGATCCACCCCAATGCCATCCTCCACCTCCACGTCCAATGCTACCGTAATTACTATTGCTATCGTGGTTGCAGTTGTTATTGTTGTTGCTGTTGCGGCTACCAGCCCAGTATCCAGCGGCAGCTCCTCCAGCCGCTCCGGACCAGAAGCCTGGCCTCCAACTATCTGTGTTTTGAGGCTTCGTTCCGGGATACGGAGGAGGAGGGTCGTCGCCACCAGGGCCCCATCCAGGACCCCATCCACCAGGACCGCCCCAGCCATCTGGTCGACGTCGAGGACGGTTGTTGTTGGCGTTGTTCCTTTGAGCCACACAGCATGCCGAGTAGATGATCCAACCGAGAATGCTAACGAAGATAATGGTAAAGACCAAAGCGCCCCAGTCAATGCCACCGCGACCGTCGTTGAACCAGCCGCCGTTAGCGATGTCGGGGTATCGTCGCTCGCCCTTGCTAGTCAGGGCGAGTTGGTACTCGACGCCGCAGCTGCCCTTGAGGACATAGGGATCGTCGGGGTATGCGTATCCTTCACAGATGACGTCGGTGCTGCCGAGCTTGAGCTCCTCGGGGAGCGACGCGGTGCAGCTCCATTCGATGTCCTCGTCGCCCCAGGAGGAGCCTTGGTTGGTGCAGCGCATGACGTCGATTTCATAGAGGTCGCAGATGGCACCGCGCGAGGCGCAGCGCAACTGGGGAATGGCCGATACGCGACGGTGGCTCGTCATGGCGCCCTTGCCGCGGAGGGTAAGGGACTTGACGTCGGAGAGCTTGATGGCATCCTTGGGCTGACGAGCGGCGAGCGTCAAGGCCGGGAGGCCAAGGCAAAGAGCGAACAGACTGGGTATCATGATGGCGGGGTATCAACTGTTTTGAACGCGGTGTCTCGATGTGTTTTTAAGATGACGAGCCTAGGCCCGGGTTGTAATATATTTCGGTCCCAGAGTTTGATGGGAGATGGGAGGTTCGAGCTGGCGACTTTTTGTTGAGATGTAGAATGGAAGTTCAGTGGTGAGAAAAAGAGGCCACGAATTGGGGAGCTTGCAACCTAGAAGAGGGGCGTTTGTTGAACACGTGCCAGTGGCAACGCGAAAAGTGGCAGAGCTGAAAACGAACCGAGTGTTATCGGAAGCAATGTAGCTGATTGGGTGATATTGAGAGGATTCTCTGTTGATGATAACAGGACGGGAATATTTGAAGATGCGAATAGATTCTTGTTCTCTTTTCCTGTCCAGGTTGTGAAGCTTTATAGAATGGACGTTTGCGCTATGACGGTTTGCGATAAGCCTTTGGTGGCCTTTCTTTCACCCAGCGATGGTACACGGAACAAGACCAGAAGGATTAGAAACAAAGAGGCGGCTGAAAGAACCGCAGTCTAGTGGAAATAAAGCAACACGTTTATCTTTCACTTTCTAGCAAGATGAAAGAACTCTTTCAATGGGCTCCTTGTTGCTATTATCAATAAACCTTTGACCCGCCTAATCCGGTCTCAGTTCAGTGGAGCAAGGTGTTGGCCTAGCCCACCCTAGAACCTTCGATGCCTTCAAGATATGCAAGAAAAGCACACGTCTTGATATTTATTTTCATTGGAATCATTTGTCTTGGTTACACTAGAACTTGATAGACTAGGACTTCTTGGCCATGTACTGACAACTAGATGGTAACCCTAACGGCCCCGAATAGTGGCACCAATCCGTGACGACGTACCTAGGTGGTGAAAAGGACACGGAATCATCCACATCAGCATTTGCATGACCCTACAGTATTTGGAAGCATACACATGCAGAGGCCTAGCGACATCGTAAACACATATTATTCTCGGTTGGTTGATGTCACGGCATATTTAGGTAGAGGTATTGAAGGGTAGCCTACTGATTGGATCTACGACAAAACAGCCATTAAACAAAAGCTTTAGAACCCCCTGGCAGGTAGCCCGGCGAGATCGTGCAACAGAGAGAGCTTCAAGATCACCATCACTTTGAATATCATGAACTCTAAAATATCTGAAGGTTTTGTGCAACTCAACCTTGACCACCTACCCTGAGCAACCGTTAAACCCACTCAACATGGATGACAGTCAACGTGTGAGAACTATTGAAAGCCATAATGAAAGGCTATGCCAGAGACAGCAGAACGTCGACCTCGACAGTGACCTACCTCTCAGCTCATATTGGACGTCATGGTGACCTCCACATGGCCATCAGAACTGTGGTTTAGACACCCACTGACCGCTGCTGTCATGGCAGATGACAGTGGCGGGTACAGTAGCCCGAATACTCACAGTGAGGCAAAACCTTATATAGATCTAAACGATACCGAAGACACCGCAACATCGGAAAGTTTGGTGCCTCGACACGCGTATCCGCGCGTCAGTTGATCTCTTGGACGTAGGCTACGTAGGTAGGGCTGATCGGCTGGGGAAAGTCGGAGCAAAATGACAGTACGAGAAGCTGAAACTAAACACTGTGCGGCGGGAGTGTCAATAGCGACAGCTGTTGCCTCCACCGTCTCCAGGCTGCCAGGCTCCCTTTTTCTGGTCATATTTTGTATTTTCAACTCCTGCATTTTAAGCCGATATCCGATCCTTGGCCAGCATACGTACGGGCGCTTCTTAATTCCGGTTTTGCTATTCGCGAATGGTTCGCCAGGCCTGGTGAGCTGTGCGAAACCCCTCAGCGCAGTGTACATCTCAAAACTCTTCCATCTGATGGGCCAGAGTACGGATGAATATCAGCAAGAGACCGGGGTTCGGTGCAAGGATTCACCGACGGCCAAGCTTAAAAGCTCCTGTTGAAGGTGGCCTTGCGTGCCTTGTCAGATTCAGGTTCTGACTGGGCCAGGAGATTACGGCTTTAAAAGTGAGTTTGTCCGGGCAGACGGGAACCGGGGACAAAACGTGGCCGATCCCCGATCAAGATGAGAGAGACCGGGCTGTCGGTCAAATGCCCCGTACGGATCTTTGGTTCGGTTCCCTGAGAGATTGATGACTCGCTTTCTCCTAAAAGAGAAACCGAGAATGCGAAGGAATGACTGATCCACATACAGTCTCTCACGGTGCCACTTGATCGCGATACTCGACATTCATCGAGGTGCTATTCTGCCGAAACACGACGGTTTGTGTCTTGCAATGCGACACACCTGTCATACGCCGTTGAACCTCTGGTCGAAACGGGCGTGATACCTCGAGGCTGACCCCCCGATGGCCCAAAAAAGCCAAGCCTTTCCAGAAGCTCGTGGCCTGGGAATAAGCCCGGAGGAAAGTTGCTTGGGTTAAAGGATGGAGTAAGCCGGACCCGACAGACCGCACGAGAGCGAAAGCGAGGGGCTTCGCTTCTCAGGGTACAGTAACCACAGTACCACACCAGTGGTGCCGAGGTGCCGATCTTATATTAGCAGTGACGCATTCTGTAGTCGAGACACTCGCACGCCAGATTGCAGGCGTCCGTCTCGAGAGCCCAGGCGCGCGTGTTTGTCTAAGCGAGAGCGAAATACCAAATGCATGTCCTGCAAAGCGGACCGGGGAACCCCGGCCCGTGTCCGAAAGAGGTAGCCGTTTCGAACGCCGCGAAAGCCCATTCTCCACTCGCCCGCTGAATGACTCTTGGCCGCCGCTACGGGGTGTCGGGGCTCTGCAAGAGTCCGAGGTTTGGTGAATCAACCAGGAGCCAATCGTGCTGAAGATGATCAGAGACAGTTAGAGACAGAAACATGCCATGCGTCTTGTAAGATGAGTCAATGAGTCGGCATTACTTTTGCCGCAACTGATAAAGATACGATGAACGCGAAGGATGGTTGAATACGCCGCTGGCTGACCAAGGTTGATTGTGAATTGATCCGTGATTTGCCTGAGGCCTTGCCTCGGACATCTCGCACTTAGACGAACAGACCAATAAGCGGTAGGGGGCGCCGAGGATCACCCCAGGTCTTTTTAATCTTGGCGATGCAGCACATATGCTGTCGTGAGCAGTTGCAGAAGTAACGGAGACACATGGCAGAAGAGGGAAAAGATGTCGAGTATCAGAGATGGGTAAACATTGATTGACAAACTCGCGACAAGCTGCCTTTATATGGCTTCTTGAAAAACAACCAGCTTCAATGCCAAGCTGCATTCCTCTACTGTATCAGCCCAGTGTATCCCCGAGATCTCCCCGCATCTGCAATCCAAAGCTTTCTTCCCAAAAGCTCAGCGACCCTCCGATGCCCCTGCAACTCATCGAGTTCAAAGCGTGTTGCACTGTGCCGGCCGAGAACTTGGCGAGGCGCTGGGGGGGCGTGGCTCCAGAACCGGCCCGCAACGATGAATAGCGACGCTAAACAAGGTAGGTGCGTCCGGGACCCTTTTTGTATCCCGCCCGAGTCCTCGCTGCTTCACTTGATTTCATTATTACCTGGTCGTCGCAATCTTCCTCATTGCTAGTGTTTGGATTTATATATCACCCCACGC